AACTTTATTATTATTATTATTATTATTATTATTATTATTATTATTATTATTATTATTATTATTATTATTATTATTATTATTATTACTACTATTACTATTACTATTATTATTATTAGAATGGGCATACGGGCAAAACAGCTTTCCGAACCGGTGAGGTTTGAGCAAGCCGATGGCTCTCTGATGGGAGGGACTCTTGTCACACAATTAACTGAGCCCTTACGCCTGGAAATAGGTACACACTGGGAATTTATTCGTTTCCTGGTGGATTTGTTGAAAGCTAAAGTGCTTTCACTGATTGTAAGTTTATTTCCTAAAACTTTCAATATATTCATGATAACTTTCAGAGCTCTAAACGGCTTGTGTTCAGGATATATGATCAGTTGCCTCATTCCATGGTTGCTCATCAAGAACAAGTGGGAAGGCTTTTACTTGTGTTTCTTTCTATAATACCTTTCTCTGTTGTAGAGACATCTAGTCATTCATCTCTTTTTGAAGGAGCTTCTGCACCTCCTTATGAACTAATGAAAAATGGATCAACAGATGAAAAACAAAGTTCAGGAAAGAATGGAGGTAATTTTTTTTACACACACTTGACTCATCCCCTAAATCAACTCTACTATCCTTTCTTTACTTTCTTTTCTTCTTTCTTTTTATTTTCTTACTACTACTACTACTACTACTACTACTACTACTACTACTACTACTACTACTACTAAATAACAATAAGAACACATCAAATTTGCAGATGACACCAAGCTGGCAGGAATAGCCAACACTCCAGAAGATAGGCTTAAGATTCACAGATTTGAACACTGGGCGCTATCTAACAAAATGAAATTCAATGGTGAAAAAAGTAAGGTGCTACATTTAGGCAAGAAAAACCAAATGCACAGGTACAGTATAGGTGGTATTTTGCTCCATAGTAGTAACTGTGAGAGGGATCATGGAGTCCTAGTGGACAATCACTTAAATGTGAGCCAGCAGTGTGCTGCAGCTGCCAAAAAAGTCAACACAGTGCTAGGCTGCATTAACAGATGGATAGAATCAAGATCACATGAAGTATTAATACCACTCTACAATGCCTTGATAAGGCCACACTTGGAATACTGCATTCAGTTTTGGTCACGACGATGTAAAAAAGATATTGAGACTCTAGAAAGAGTTCAGAGAAGAGCAACAAAGATGATTAGGGGACTGGAGGTTAAAACATATAAAGAATAGTTGCTTGGGTATGTCTAATTGAATGAAGAGAAGGACGAGGGGTGACATGATAGCAGTATTCCAATATCTCAGGGGTTGCCACAAAGAAGAGGGAGTCAATCTATTCTCCAAAGCACCTGAAGGTAGGACAAGAAGCAATGGATGGAAACTAATCAAAGAGAGAAGCAACCTAGAAGACTAATATGACTTTTATTGAAATTCTCTATAACAACAGAACCTTGCAAATCCAATTGTGCTCTACCTTCTCCTTGTTATACCTGTGAATTAAGGAGGCTTCAGCCTGTGCAACCAGAATCTTCTGGACTTAAAATATGTTTCAGCACCATTTTTCATGGATAATTATTCATGCATATCTCTATCATGGTTAGCTTTCTGGTTGTCTACAATTCTAGAATTGTCAGTCAGCATACCATTGGTTAAACCCAATGAACTTTATTTGCAAGATTCAATTCCTGAACAGTATGCAGTGGCTTAAACCACTTATATTATCTTGGAATGGATGTAAAAGAAAAAAAAATCCTGTGTTATTTATTATTATGTCCTCTTGCATTGCAGGAAGCAAACCTTTGTCTGATTTACTTGATCAACAGCCACCTCAACATCTAAGTGATTCAAAGTATGATATTATTTGACTAACTCTGTTTTACTGTTTTACTCAAATAGACAGGATGACTAACCTTAGTAGTATTGATAAAAACTCTGGATAAAATCTTGAACTTATTCCTACATATGAATCATCTTCACATGTAGAGGCCAAGATACAATGTTTATATTTGGTTTTCCCTAGCCAACAGAATCTTCATTTTAAACTCTCATAGTTAATCCTTTTAATTTTATTTTAAAAAAAAACTTCAGGACTTAATTTTAATTCTCAAGCTAATATTATTAACTAGCTGGAGCTCTGTCCCTTAACAATAATTTTTTGTAAGCCCCTTACAAATGAGGGTATTTTTATACATGTTAAGCAAAGCTTACGTATAAAGAATTGTCTTTTGAGTAATAGAATACATGAAATCTATTGGACATTCCTTTAAACTCTGTTTTCATTAAAGCACCTGTAATTTTGTTGCTTTGAAAGAAAAATAAGTACTGTAAGGAGAATTCAAGAGCCTCCACAACTGGGGCACCTAAACCAAAGACTGCGTGAAGAGGATTTGTTAAGAGAAATATTATTCCCCTTATTATTCTGAAGAAACAATGGTATCCTTTCCTGTACAAGAGGGCAAAAGTCTTGTTTCTGAAACCAAGGCGTAAGAGTTGAAGAGTCTGGTCTCAATAAAGGAGAATATTTGTAGCTCAGGTTGAAATGAAGAATCCTTGGTGCTCTCTGAGCTTGATTGTTTTCTTTCAGATATTTCATTGCCCAAACTAGGTAACATCATCAGTGCTAAGCATTACCTAATCTGAGTAATGAAAACAATTGGAAGAAAGCCACCAAGCTCAGAGAGCACCAAGGACCCCTCACAATCTAGTCTATTTTACTTAGTTTAGAAGATGGAAGCACTCTAAGCAGGCATCCTAAAATTATTTTAGTGAACAGTAGATTAGTGTGGATTATAGGAATTACTTTTTTAAGATACCATGATCCTGGCTGCTGACTACTCATACCAGCAGATAGAGTAAACCCAATTGTTCTTTCAAAACAATTCCATCCAGTTCACAGATTGACCTATGATTCTCTAGGAGAAGGAAATAAATTGGTGGAAATAGAAATGTTTGAACAATAGTAGTTATGGCTTCATTACATACAATAATTTTGAGACCTCAGAACATCAGGATATAAAGTTTTCTAATAATTATTTCAACCCCAAATGAAGTAGTGTATTGTCTATTTTTTTTCCTCAGCACTCTCCTCACCTCTGAACAAGAGATTAAAGATGCATTTCTCCAGTACACAGCAACAAAGTTTTGCTATAGGACTGCCCCTGCAAAGCATTTAAAAGTCCAGAAGCTAACTCCTCTCAACACATACAGAGTATGTACCATAGTTGTATCTAGGGAATGACATTTTTTTGAGGACTGAACTGTAGGAAGTCTGGCCTGAGCTTCAGCAAAATGACTCTTAGACTGTCTCCGTTCAAGGTGCTAAATATCTAGGTTTCCTAACTTCACTCCTTGTTATACTTTCAAGTTTGCCATTTAGCATTTAAGAAATATTACTCAAAACTATGTCTTCATCTACATGGAAATATCTGGTCACATCCTGGAAAGACCATCTGAACTCAAATGCATATTTTCATGTAATTGTTTGGCTACAGTGCAAACCCAGAGAAAGATGCAGTTTCTTTAAGGAGGCTCCAAGAAGTGTGGTACCATTGGGCTTTGGATTCAATATGTACACATTCCTGTAATCAAGTCAATGAACTTGTCATGCTATCCTCTAGATTAGGGGTGTCCCACCTTGGCAACTTTAAGACTTGTGGAGTTCAACTCCCAGAATTCCCCAGCCAGCCATTGAATTCTGGGAGTTGTAGTCCATAATTTTAAAATTGCCAAGGTTGAACACCCCTGCTCTACATTATGTATTTCTTGAAAGTCTCATCCAAGGGCATCTATTGGTGTGTGTAGATATGCGATTTAAGAATCCAAAATAAATATCTGTAAACAAGTTTGACGTCAAACGTCTAACAACTTAACTGTATGGGGGCAGTTATTTCATGGTGAATGAAAGTAGTTTACACTCACTGGAATAATTAAAAATAAAGTAGTAATTGCTTCATTTCAGAGCATTAGGTCTGGGTTTTAGAATTTCTCAAGACAAAGTACAGAGCCAGATTCTGCTAATTGTTGGCTGAGATTTCCACATCAGAAGCCAGTCTGCTTTCCAAGGATGGCCACTTCTGTTTAAAGAATTAAGACTTCAGTTTCAGGTTAATGGATTATTTGCTGTTTTCTGTTCTCAGTATCGGTTAGAGACTTTCACTGAAAGTAGAGACACACACTTGGCTAGTGAATGCTATTATGGTGAGTAACTCTGGGGAATGAGGGAAAATTTCCAGAATGATTCCTTTGCAAGGGATCACCACTTTGAACCTTTCAAGATACTAATCCAAGTAGTTGTACACTCTAACATTAACATTTAATGGAATCATGGCAAAGTATTTGTAGTCCTCAACTTACCATCATTTGTTTGGTGACCAATCAAAGTTACAATGATATTGAAAAAAGTGACTTATGATTGTTTTTCACATGGCTGAGCTACAAATATTCTCCTTTATTGGTGACTCTGGGTGGCAAATAAGTTTAAAAACAAAATAAATATGTTAAAATTAAAATACCAACATGAATGTAATCAAAGAGGAAAAAAAATAAAAGTCCACCAGGGATAATTCCTTCAAAATAATAATACATTACATGGGCTCCACTGACTTCCTGACTCCGATGCCTGGGTTAGGGTGAAGGCTAATCTGGTCTCAGGTGGTTGGATGTTCCAAAGGGCAACTACCATGACAGAAAAACTGTGCTTTCTGGGTCCTATTAGATAGCTTTTCTTAATTAACAGGATCTGCTGTTGGATTTCTTGAGGTGGGTAGAGAAAATTGGAAAGACATCATACCCTCAAATATCCTGAGGTTGTTGAAGGGATCCTGGAAGATTGATTTTATTTATTTTTATATATCATATTTAGAGATTGCTCATCTCCCTCATAGAGTGACTGTGGGCAGTGTCTTTTTTAACTGTGTTTTAAAAAATCACTACAGTACTTATACACGGCATATTATTCAATATTTTTTTTTAAAAAAAAATCTGTACTGCTTAATGTAACACTGTTAAAGCAGTATAGTTGTCACTAAGTGTTTGTCTATTTTGAGGCCAAAATACATAAAGGAATACAATTCACAATCATGCTGTTTTGTCATTTAGTTTCATGACTGACTGAGGAGGGTCTGTGTGTTTGTCTTCCAGGTGGATTTGTGGACTCAGCTGAAGTTGCACCTCCGCCCTCCCCCTGGGAAATCCCCGTGGATCCACCTCCCTTGTTTACAGACTGTGAAATGCATATCCCAGTGCCCCAGTCATATTCCCTGGGGGTAAAACAAATATTTCTTACTCTTCTTAGAATTACAGTTATATGCTGCTTTTCTAAAGTGTGTTCAATAAGTCAACCAAGACAGCTTTGTGAATACATGGTCCACCAGAACAGTGTTTTTTCAAACATGGTAACTTAAAGATGTGTGGACTTCAACTCCCAGAATTCTCCAGCCAGCATGCCAAGTTTGAAAAAAAAAACTGCACTTGGTGAACAATTTCTAAAGGGCTCCTAAAAACAGCTCTAGAAAATATATTTCTTGGGCTATTTGTTCATGGCAAGTTATTGTTTAACTGATTACTCTCACTTTTAAAGTAGTCTTAGAAATGTTCAATATTTTGAATACTGTTGTAATCTAAGTAATTACTCCTAGAATATAAAATTACTATTGAAATGGTTTTGTTGGCAGTGTGTTAAAGAAAGTAGACAAGCATAAGAATGTTAAAGCTTATCAGATAATTGGGTAGATTAGAAATACAATAAGAAATCGATTACAATAAAATGCCACCCAATTGTGCATTATCAGGTCACAATGAGCTTAAATCGATTCATTATGCAAGCAATACATGAGGAAAATGGAATCCCAAATACATATTTGAATTCAGGACATATATTTCAGACTATTCTACAAAAACTAGTAAAAAGTAAACAGAAATGGTTTTCTAGTCAGTCTAGAAGCCTCTGAAAAAGGCATGGTGGGTTATTACCGTACATTACAAAAATATGGTACAGGCCATTAATGGATCTTGTTATAGGAAGTGAAATCAAATTATGTTTCCCTGACTCATCCTTATACACTTGATTATTTGATTTTTTTTAAAATGGTTACTTTTAAGTTCTGTGAAATGACTTACCTTCTCTAATGTGGCATTTGATGTTCCGCTCTCTGATCATTGTAGCAAAAATAGTTTTACTGTTTGAAACCTTAAGATAGTATTTTAGTATATAAACTTTAAAAATAGTATTTGTATTTGGCAAGGAAAACTTCTGGTTTACACATATTAAATAATTATAATATATTTATTATTTATATTTTTAGAAGACCTCCAGGGTTCTTCCACCCCTATGATTCTATATAGTCTTCTTATGCATTTTAGTTAAAAGAAGGAAAATTGACATAAAAATGGGATTTGATTACATATTGTAACAAAATGCGGAAATGATCTCAGAAGAGAAAAGGAAGAGCCACAGACTAGGCAATAGTCAGATAAGAAGCAGTTGAGCCCAGAGAAGGAATGTGGGTGTGGCAAATGTCTCAGAAGGAACCCTCCCTAGTTTCTTGGACTGTAAAGGTGACAAAGAAAAAAAAAGTACTTTCAGACTTGCAACATTCTGTTAATGTAACCTTACAATAAAGACAGAACTGATATTCCTTGCTGTGCTTTTTGTCTGACTATATCACAAGTCTGACACCTTCCTCCTTTTCTCTCAAGGTCATATAGAAAAAGTTCTGTTTGTACATGGATGGGGAGCATGGTGGCTGGGTAGAATGCTGGGTTGACAAGTAACAAGCCTGTGTTCAAGACCTGAGTGCTGCTGTGGGATGGGGTGAGCTCTCATCTTTCACTCCAGCCCCTACCTGGGCATACACCTGGGCAACGGTGTTGTCACCAGCTAATCCTGTCAACCTGGAAACGCCTCAGTGCTTCCGACATTAATCCAATGCAATATGTTATGTTCAACTTTTACTTTGTAACCTTTTTTTGGGTGGTGGTGGTTAACTTTCAGACTTGGTTTAATGTATTGGTTTCGATAAATGAGACCAGTAGAAATAAGAACCCTGAGGCAATTGCTTTCCTCAAAGAACACTTTTAATGACCACATAATATCAGCACAAACATAGGTGAAACTAAGATTGAAAGTTACCCCCCCCAAAAAAGGTTACAAAGTAAAAGTTGAACTCCCCACCTCTTGGTGTGTCATAAATCACAATCCCCAATTAACACCTTTGGCGGGCTTCCTAATGATAGCTCCCACCCACCAAACATTAAAGCTGCTTGACCCTGGTTCCCACATGAAAGTTGTTATAATAATAATAATAATAATAATAATAATATTAATAATAATAATAATAATAATAATAATAAAAGTTGGAAGGGACCTTGGAGGTCATCTAGTCCAACCCACTGCTCAGGCAGGGAACCCTATACTATTTTGGACAAATGGCTGTCCAGTCTCTTCTTAAAAACTTCCAGTGTTGGACCATTCACCGCTTCTGGAGGAAGGTTGTTCCACTGGTTAATTGTTCTAACTGTCAGGAAGTTTCTCCTTAGTTCTAGATTGCTTCTCTCCTTGATTAGTTTCCATCCATTGGTTCTTTTTTTTTTTTTATATAAATTTTTATTATTTTCATCATAAGAAAAAAAGCACATCACAGATACATCACAATGTAAAAACCCCTACCCCCCACCCCCCACCCGGACTTCCCAAACCTAATCCCAGGATACTATTCAACTACAAGTAAACTACTATTAATATCCCTAACTCCACAAAATATTAGTCTACATAAGTAGGTG